CATCTCTAAAATGGTCATAATTAACAGGGCATGATGGCACATATGTGGCACATGTACCTCAGCATTTGGGTGGCTGAAGGAGAAGGATTTCAGGGGGAAAGGGGCAAACCTGGGCTACATGAGACTGTCTCAAAAAAAAAAAAAAAAAAAAAAAAAAAAAAAAGATAAAGACAGAAAGAGAAAAGAAATTGCAAGGTGCAGCCATTGTAAATGCATACTTGCAATCCTAACATCCAGGAGGCAGAAGCAGGAGAATGCCTACAACTTGAAGGCCATTCCATATACATGATAAGTTCCAGGCCAGGCAGGACTAAGGAATGAGATCAAGCCAGGAGGCGATGGTGCACACCTTTAATCACAGCACTCAGGAGGCAGAGGCAGGGGGATCTCTGTGAGTTTGAGGTCAGCCTGGTCTACATAGTGAGTTCCAGGACAGCCAGGGGTACATAGTAATACCCTGTCTAAAACAACAATAACAAAAGTGTATGATTTCCATGCCAGCCTGAGATACATAATGAGACCCCCCCCAAAAAAAAAAAACCAGTAAGTAAATAAATAGATAAATAAATAATGGGCTGAGGATATGGTTCAGTTCATAGAGACTTGCCTAACTTGACAAAGCCATGGGCTCCATCCCCAGCACTGAGTAGACAAGGTGTACTGATCTACAACTATAACCCCAGTACTAGGGAGGTAGAAGCTGGAAGATCAGAAGTTATCCCCATAGTGAGTTTAAAGCCATCCTGGGTTACATGAGGCCTTGCCTCAAAACAAAACAACAAGATAAAACAAAACAAAACAAAAACAGAACCGTAGCTACAGCTGTTGGGAAGGTAAAAATGTATTCCTTCCTCCCCTCCCTCCTCTCCTGTCTCTCTCTCCACGGCCTCATGGCCTCTGACCTCCTCCTGTCTCTTTTTGCCTCTCTTGGCCCTGACCGGTTGCAGTCTGTGTTGCTGGGCATTGTGGTCCTGCTGGCATACCGCCTGGAGTTCACGGACACCTTCCCTGTGCACACCCAGGGCTTCTTCT